AACAATAGCAAACGATTGAATTTCACTAGTCGATGCAAAAGACAAGAAAGATACAAGTTTCCTTCAATTCGAGAGGAAGGAATAACTCTCCAAATCTCTAGCCGTTGCCTAGAGCCCAAAAGAAAAACTTAGATCTCACAAATCACATTCAAAATCCACATAACCCTAATTTCTCCCTCATCTCCCTAATTAAATATGAAAGGACGATTACAAAAGACCTAATTACCCCCTTCTAATTCAAATTTTCCCTCCCAAAAGACTCCACGTGGCCTCCCTGGGTGTTCCGCCCCCTCCCTGTTCGCGTGGCCTCCGTCGGGTGAAGACCTGGACCGGTCCAGGTTGGACCGGTCCAGCCGGCTCAGGTACCGGCCTAACAGTTATTTTCCCTATTGATAACTCAATTACTTTCTTGGTGTTATTCTTTTCTAAAGCATTCATCTCCTCTCTCATAGTTTCCCTTCAATTTTTATTTTCTAATGCCACAAATAAGGTTTGTAGTATTTTGATTGCACTAATATTCACGAGGAAAATTTATGGTAACAGTAGTTCTAAAAAGTTGAATATTAGGTCATGGAATATAAGGTATGTTTAGTATATTTTTTAGACCTCTCTTTGTAGAAATAGTTTGATCAATATCAACATTGTCAGGAGAGAAACTAATGGTGATGGAAAGGGATACCTAATTACTAGTTCAATTACTAAGTCTTGAACTTATAAGAGCGCGATTAGGCGAGGCAAAAGAGGATTTTATACTAATTTAATGAGATTGAATATAAACTATTCTACTCGATCCTCAGGGGTAAACAATGGAATGATCTCCATTAGTTTTCACTAGTTTATTAGGTTTAGTTCTCCAAAGCCTTATTGTTGTCCTCATTAAAAGACCATAGTTGTTTATTGATGCGTACTGGAATGAATGGTGATGATTGTGCACACCATTTGTGACCCTAGAAGACTTTAGTTGCTTGTTGATGCATATTGAATGAATAACGGTGATTACCCACACCTCCCTATCAGAGATTTTGCATTGAAGAATTTGAAAATGTTTGTTCCCTTATTGTGGTGCCAAGCACATGCTCATGCATATCCACTGGCTAGCAGTTCTAGCTCTTTCTTGGCGCAGTTGGAAACTTTGATCAGTGATTGAGGGCATGGTAAGATTTGAAGCCCTCATGGTATCAATGAGTTAAAGTTTAGGACATGATATTAACAAACAGAAGTCTTAGAAGAGAAAAGCTTGTCACAAAAATTTAGCAAAAAGGGGCATCATCGCAAAGAAAAGTATTGAATTCTTGCTCGACTCGGGAAAAAAACATTCTAACCTAAATTGTGAGTAATGCAGGGAGTAAATGGATACGTTAATTCAAAGATCTTGATGTTATTGAATTTCCAAGTATGAACAATGGAGACCATCCGAAACTAAGGTCATTTTGGTGCGCTCGATGCTAGTCATCAAATTAAATTTGATAACATGACTGGAACGACGAGCCAAAGTGGTGGCACAACTCCTGTGGCACCTTTGACTAGCAAGGCTAGCTTAGTTTAGTCTTCTTGAGCATTCAAGCACTTGTTAGGCCAGTTTAAGCTCATTCATGATTCCTATTCTATTTGACCAATTTAGCAATACATGAGCTCCATTGACTTGTCCAAGCGATTTTGTGAGTTTATTTACTCAATTAGGGCTTTTTGGGCCATTGGTTGGGTCAAACAAAATTAAATCAGACTCTTGTGCGTGCTTTGAGATTTGTGGTTGTCTTTTGGAAGTTGTGCTTGATCTAGTAGGATTTCTTAGAAAATACTACTGCTCTCAAATTTTTTGTTCTATGACACTCCAACTTGTGCTAGCCTCCATTTTCTATTTGAGCTACCGAAGTTCGAACTTCTAAGCTGAGTTGGTTTAACTTATAAATCTATCAGACAGGAGATTCCATTCTAGTAACCATAGGATTTTATCTGAACCGAGATGACAGATTGTTTTGATTAATGTCTTCTCCTTTTAGGCCCCTCTTTTATTTTTGAGCTGGTTGGTTCTCGCATGCTCGTTCTTGTTTTTGAACTAATTAGTTCTCGTATGCTATTTGCTATTTTTGAGCTAATTGGTTCTCTTATGCTACAGGCATTCAAAGCACTTCTAAGTGCAGCTACAGCAGAAGAACAACTTTCTGCTCTAGGAGAGCTAATGTATCAGGTACATGTACTTTCATAGTTCCTCATTATAGAATTGTTACTTATTTGAACTCCTTTGAAAAGATTTGATTACTTCTATAATTAATTTTCAATACCAAATGTAAGTTACCTTAAACCATGCTTGATCGCATCTTTTATTGATTTGCTATTGAATCCCTAATGTTTCTACGGCAATTTCTATTGATCATTGCACATACTAAAGTATAAATGTCTTGATGACAACTTCTGCAGTGTCATTACAGCTACAGTGACTGTGGGCTTGGCTCTGACGGAACAGACAGGCTTGTAGAGTTGGTGCAAGAGATGCAGCATCGCAATTCACCTAAGCAGACAAACTTATTTGGTGCAAAAATTACTGGAGGTGGCTCTGGTGGTTCTGTTTGTGTGATTGGAAGGAATAACATTGAAAGCAGCAAAGAAATTCTTGAGGTGATTACTTGACTTCGCTTATAAAATCTGTTAACCCAAATCAGAAAATTACAGAAAACAGCAAAATAATTGCTTGCCCGAAACTCTAGATATTGAGGTGGGAGAAGGAATAAACAATTAGGAGAATGCCCACAGTTCACCCATTATATTTTATTCCTAACGAAATCACTAAAACTTCTGCAGGATTTAACTTTTTCTGGATACTCAACCATTCAAAACTTCCTTGCTCTTCTATATTAATCCTTCCATTCTCATTTCTAGTGCTTCGCTCGCTGGCTCACTCTGTTTATGTGTACTTACTATTCAATTCAATATATTTCCTCTTCGATCAGATTTCTATATTCTCATGCATAACATCGTTTGTGCATCATATATCTTGATCTGTTCTTGGTGTGGGTGTGGGATGGTTCTACTCTTGTACCTGCCCCATGCATTCTTGGGTTTTATCTTACATATTACTATATTACGGCATATTTTGGATCGCTTTTATTTTTTAACATGTTTATTTAGTGTATCTTTTAACAGTTTTTACTTTTTTTATAAATTAAATTATTTTTAAAAACATTCGAAATTATTTTAAATTTTTTGAGTATTTTTAAAAATATCTTACTGTCGGCCGCTGTCGCAATCTTCGGCAGCCACCATCGTCGCCAGCCACTAATATCATCATTGCCTCTTAGGTGGCTGCTGCTGGCTGGCCTTCAAATGATGCCACTATGGGGTGTCAATTTGGGTCACAGGTCGGGTTCGGGTCGAACCCGAAACTGACCCGGCACTATTCGGGTTAACCCGAACCCAACCCGTTTTTGCAAATGGGTCGATTTTTATGACCCGACCTGCTTCGGGTCCGGGTCAACCCGATACGACCCGAATGACCTATGGTCGACCAAAAATTGCTAGTTTTCGGGTCAAAAAATTGGTCGATCTCTGATTTTCGGGTAAAAACAGGTCATTTTCAGGGTTCCGGACCCAAAATGGGTCAATTTCGCGTTTCTGGGTCAACCCGAACCTGATCCGATTTTTGAAACGGGTTAATTTGTTGAACCTTAACCTGACTCGTATTAGGTTCGGGTTGTCCCCAACCCGGAATTTTTTGGTCGGGTTCGTGTCGGATTTTCGGGTAATGTCAAATATTGACACCCCTACAGTATCCCTAAATAAACAAAAATAACATATTTTTAAGATATCAAAATGCATTTTGTTTCTTATCAACACAAAAAGCAATGGTGTTTCCAAACTGCCCCTTACTGATTAGATTTTTTCTGTGAAGAATTGGATGGATTTCTATGCAATGAATGCCTTACTAACACTTACAAATGCGTTATGTCAATGTAACTTTCAGATTCAGCAGAGGTACAAAAATGCCACAGGCTATCTGCCGATTGTTTTTGATGGGTCATCTCCTGGTGCAGGAAAGTTTGGCTACCTTAAAGTGCGCTGCCGTCCCTCAGCAAAGAGCAGTATGGATTAATAAGTTCAATAAAAAGCTTCTAAAACCATTCAATCTATTACACAGTTGAATTTATCTAGTACTTTAATTGTTATTTGCACGTCTAAATGAATAAGTATTTAATGAAACTTTGTGATAATCTTTTATAATTGCATGTCAGTATGTGCATGTAAGATACTCTATGTTCAGTTTATTGGATCGTCTCTGATTTGAACATTTTGTACTAATAAAGGTAAACTATGAAAATTATCATCTTTTTTTTTATAATTTTAATGTATTAGTTTATGAAAATTAGCATCTTCGATACTTGTACATAACGAATTAGGTTTCGTTTGGAACAGCTTTTTGAACTGAAATTTTTATTCTAAAATGTTGCATTAGAAAGCATTAAGAAAGCCGCTTCAAATGAAGTCGCAGATATTATGAGAAATGATTATGGTGCAGTTCTTAAGGGGGCTGGTTGCATGATAAGGTCTCTTGCACATCAGACAACAACAACAACAATATTAAGCTTTTACCCATTATGTGTGGTCTGCTACATGATTCCTTTTTCTTCGTTGTGTCATGTTAAGAATTAAATTCTTATTTAAATCTAAGAAAGAAATGTCATTTCTAATATTTTCTAATCAAGTTATTTTAGGTCTATTTCTATCTTTTTAACATAAGTCAAATCTAATACATCTACTTTCATGACCGGGTTATCGGAAGGCCGTTGTTTTATGTGATCAAATCATCTAAGGCGACTCTATCTAATCGTATCTTCCACTGGAGCTACTCTAACTTTTTCACGTATATGCCCATTCAACTTTTTCACGTATATGCTCATTCAACTTTTTCATGTATATGCTCATGTCATATCATGCCTCTAGCACATTGGAGATTCTCATAGATTTATTTATGATATTCAATTGATTTTAATATCTTGGAAAATATTTTTGAATGAATTGAATGAGAGATTGCTTTTAGTTCTTGTGAATAGCATATCAGTCATTATTTAAACTATTAGTAAAAAAAGGGTGATGTGTATAGTGCACAATCTCATGATTAACTGGGATTAGTAGATGCTCCCCTTAAGCTAACCTTGCCAGCTGCTAGATTTAAGCTTCGTGTGGGGAGACTTTTAGGCTTCCTCTGGGATAATTTTTTTCATGCTTCTAAAAACAGTTTTTTAGTACAATAATTAAAATTTTTGTACTAAAAAACTGCTTTAAAGCAGTAAGAAAGCCGTCCCAAATGAAGTTTTAATCATTGTTTTTGTTTTTGCTTTTAAGAAATTTTTGTACTAAAATGTTACTTTAGAAAGCAATAAAAAAGTTATCCCAAATAAAATTTTAAATTTGACCCGAGTGATTGGTGGGGGTGATTTAACTACGACTGTTACTAACTTTGTCTCAGATCAATGAATTGAATTTAACATGATATAGAATTTGATGCCATTAGTGTATTGATGGTAATGAATCAAAGTTTGATGGTTAGATTAATGGGAATAAATTTGTAAATATATCATCTCTTAATAAGGGTTAATGTAAAAATGTGAAGAATATCTCACTTTTTTTAATAGGAACAACTTCCTCTCACAAAGATGAGTATTTTGTTATAAATAGCTTGTAAAAATGTGGCTTGTGGATGTATTAGAAGGCTTTGGAAGAGAAATGCATTAGTTTCATACATTAAGCAGGTTTTGAGTTGAATCAAATTAATTAGGAAATATGAATTATAATGCATGTAGTTGATGAAATGTGCTTGAAATATATATGAAAGTTCATTTTAGATGAAATTATCTCTATTAAAAATAAATGTATTGCATTTTCAGATTTTCTTTTGAAGTCAAATATCTAAAATTTATTCAAGCATGTTCATTTAAATCAAATTCAAACTTGGTTCGAATCTAATTCTAAGTCCGTTCAAGTCATTTTCGAATGTTGCATAGGCCTCATCACAAAGTCATCTTTTTCATACGATGTTGGTTCATATCGAGAAATTATTCTGTGTGACTTTTTTTTTTTTTGGAAAATTAGGGGCAAATGCCCGTATATTAATTCCACCAAAAAGTTACAAGTAAGAAACAATTTCATGTAAGTAAAAACAACTATACCCTCAAAGAACCAAAAAGGAAGTATTAAAAAAAAACTACAGGACTCAGAATAAGGTCTACACCAATACAAGCATCATAAACTAACTCAGCAAGAGACCGAGAGGGACACGCAGCATAAAACCCAACGAGAAGTCAGTTGCCAATAGCAAGGAAAAACCTGCAGACCATCACAGCTTCTCTTGAAATCTCCACAATGAACTCCTTGGTTGCCAAAAGACCATCCAAAGGAGGAAGGGTGTAGATTCTCATCATAGTCCAGCAAAATTCCAAATTTCTACCAAAAGAAGTTAGCTCACAGCCAATCAGAGAACCAATCGGACGGCCCTTGCAGGCAGTCGAATGAAGAATAGCAACACCAAAATTGTTCCAAATATTCCAGCAACCAAAAAGAATGCCACCAACTGAAAGGGCAAATCCCAAAAGTAAACAAAATGGGATCAAAATAGCAGCAGCTGAATCCAAACCTTCAGCAAAACACTGAAGCCCGATATCCAAAAAATAAAGTGCCATTAATTCAAAATATCCCCAAACTTGATAGAGAGCAATTCTCTAAATTTCCAGCTCTTAGTTTTAGCTCGAATAACTGCTAAAACCTTATGTTGTACAGAAATAGGACTTTCCCAATCTGAGGAAAACCTCCTATTGTTTCTTTCCCTCCATAGAAAATAAATAATCGCATAAATAATGAGATAGCATAAATTCTTGTCCCATCTAGTCAGCCTATTATTGTTGTCTAAAAATTCATAGATTTGCATCAGATTAGGCCTCAGATAAAAGCAGCTAAGCATAGGAAGCATGCCAATAAGCAAAGAGAAGTCCTCCAGATGATCAAAAAAAAGAGCAGTGAAACTTTTAAAAGGAGCAGATGAGCCCAACCAGGAAAGAGCTGGTTTATCCACAATGTTGATTTTTAAAATCGAGCTCTTAATGTCATCTGGGGGATAAACCGGCAGATTCCAAGAACCATTATCAATGAAGTCTTTAATTAACCCAAAAGAAAACCTACTGGAGCCAAGATAATTAGCCAAAACCTCACCATTAAACCAAGGGTCCCAAAGCAAAGAGAGACTGTCATTGGGAGCCACATTAAATTTAAGAATAGTTCTTATATTGTGAGAGGTGTGACAAATAAGCTTCCAGAACTTGGAAGCAGAAGGAATGGGGGGCTTCCAAGGGGATTCAAAGTTGACTCTGTACCACCAACCCAACAAGGAGTTGTCATTATACATACGCCAAATAAATGAGTAGCAACCCCATAATAAAGAGAATCAAAAGAGGGCAAGCCCAAACCCCCTTTGCCTTTGGGCCTCGTAACAGATTTCCAGGAAATAAGGCGAAGTTTCTTATCTTTCAACTTGCCAAAGAAAAGAAATTTAGAACAAAACTTGGATATGATATTCTAACAAGATTTAGGTATAATGGCTCCCCGAATCCAGTAGGCCAGAGTATTATAAATTGTAAATTTAAGGAATTACACCCAACCTGCAAAAGAGAGAAATTTGACTTTCCAACTCTCAAGTAGAGCAGAAACCTTACTCAGTAGGGGTTGGTAGTAAGTAAAATTAAGCCTTTTGGAAGTAATAGGGATACCCAAATAGGTAAGAGAGTCCCCAATATTAGAGATCCCCAAAATAGCAGCAATCTGATCACCATTAACCACACTGTTGGAGAATAGGATGGAACTTTTCAAAGGGTTAATGTTAAGACCCGAAGCTTCAGAGAAGCCTTATATGACATTTTTCAAACAAGTAACATTCTCCAACGAAGCCTCCCCAAAAACAAGAAGATCATCAGCATACATAAGATGATTGAGCTCAAAATTCTTGTGATTAATTCCAATAAAAGAGGAACGGTCATGTGGGAATAGGCAAGAAGAAAGGCCATCCATGGCAATGCAAAAAAGCAAGGGAGAAAGTGGACATCCCTGACAAAGCCCGGAGGAAGAGTTGAAAAATCCCTCCAAAGAACCATTAAGGCAAATAGAGAAATACACATCTAAGATGCAACCTTCAATCCATTTAATGAAAACCTCAGGAAAGCCCTTATCCTTTAATCTTTTGATCAAAAAGACCCTGGAAACGGAATCAAAAGCTTTCTTGATGTCGAGCTTTGCACATAAAAATTTAGGTGATTCTTTAAAAGCTTTCAGCAGTTCAGCTGCAAGAATAATATTATCAGTGGAGCACCTCCCAACAATAAATCCAGCTTGGCTCTCATGAATGATGTAAGGAAGAACAATTTTTAATCTATTTGCAATAATCTTAGCCACAATCTTGTGGAACACATTGCATAATGAAATGGGTCTAAAATCAGCAATGTTGGAGTGGGTTCCTTTAGGAATGAGGCAAATAACCATAGCTTTTTCCCCTTTAGGAAGGTGACCCAAGCTAAAGAAATGTTTCACAGCCTTGCAAAGATGATCCCCAATTAAGTGCCAAGTTTGTTGATAAAAACCAAAAGAGAAGCCATCCGGGCCAGGGTTAGAAGAAGCAACCCCACTAAAGACAACATACTTAATCTCCATACTAGAAACCGGAACCGTCAGATCCTCCAAGAGGAAGGAAGGAATAGAGTTGCAGTAGGGAAATTAAAAGAGTTTTCAAAAGTGGGAGTGGAGGGGTTATACAAAGCCTGAAAATGATCAATAAAAAATTCAGCAATGTCTTGGTGGGAGGTGTGAGTACCCCTTTGAGAAACGATTTATTTTATACAATTTCTATTTTTCCTAGCCCGGATCTTCGCATACAAAAATCCAAGGTCATCTTCCCCCTGAGATAACCAGTGAGCTTTAGCCCTTTGAGAAATCCATGAAGTCCAAGCGGATTGAAAAGAGACAAGATTATCATTGGCCCTTTTAAGGGCAGCATTGAGATCCACATTTAGATGGTCTAACTAAATATCTGAAATACATTGGAATTGTAAGCTCTTAGCCTCTAAAATAAAGCTGGAGAGGAAGTTAGAAGTGGCCCAACGTTTGTCCTTGAGAGCAAGCTTCAGATTTCTTAGAGAGAAATAGAAAGAAGCAATAGTGCTAGCATTGATCGGTCTATGAAAAGCATTCATAACCTCCTCCTAAAAACCATCCATCTTACACGAGTAATCTTTGAACATGAAACAATAATGAGTTTTAGAAGTAGTGGAAGTCATCATGATCAAAGGGGAATGATC